CCACAACTCCATCAGGTGACAGAATGGAGAAAAAAACCTTGAGAGAACCCAGACTCAGTCGGGGGCCAGTTCTCCTCTGGCCAACGAAGGAACAGTGTATGATTCGGGCAGCATTACAAGTCAGATTGGATCGGAACATTTAGAGTATTTATCCATTTCCATCTGGTTGGAAGTCGAAGTAATCACGCCGGTATGGAGACGAGTTGTTGAGGATCAGTGTCGATGACTGTCGTGTCGATGAGGCCTTCACACGGCTGATGAGGCTGGCACTTCAGGATGAGTTGGGATGGGTCCAGGCGCAGGTCCACCATAGAGGGTCCCTCGGGATAAACAGAGAGACATAGGGTGTACTCACACTAGGCACGGTTGCCATGAACCGGGCCCGAGTACGATTGTCCCCCCTCCCCACTCCCCCTCTGGCCTGCACTCACATAGGGTTTCAGCATTCGTGCCGGAGCACGCTTACGTCATTATGGTGCGACGGTTTCGGGATAAACAAGAAGAGCGGCGCTCTCTGAACACAATGGAGTCCATCGCTCTGTTTTCTTTGTGGATAATTTTGTGTCATTTGGTCCACGGTGGTCCACAGCCCTCTCACAGCCTGTTGTTAAACAGATGTGTCGCCTTAGTGGCGCGAAAATTTTCACGTAATCGTGCTGCTCGTATGAGGAGGTTTGCAAGGTACCAGCTGAAGTGCAGCAAGGACTTTGCAGCTTTGGTTAAAGATGTGTTTGCTTATGTTCGCGTCACGCGTCCTGTTCCGTGCTCCAGCACGGTTAGCGCTCACACTGCATGCGAACCGCGCCCGAGTCCAACTGAACCGTGCTCTGGCCCACCTCTTCCAAGCGGGCCAGGGCCGGCTAATCGAGCCGCGCCCGGGCACGGTTCGGAGCACTCACACTAGTCAAACGAACCGCGCTTTGGTGGTCAAACGCACTCGGGCACGGTTCAAACTGGCTAGTGTGAGTACACCCATAGAGATATTAGCGTAGTAGACGCCATCCTTCTTATGATGTACCAAGTACATCAGGATTTACGGGATGTGTTCCCGGGTCCGGCTGATCTAAACTATGCAGCCTAATTTTGAATTAAGGAAGTCTATAGTGTGTTATGTGTATGCTAGATGTATTTTTAGTCTAGATTTGAACTGACAGAGTGTGTCTGCTTCCCGGACAATGTTAGGAAGATTGTTCCAGAGTTTTGGTGCTAAATAGGAAAAGGATCTACCGCTAGCAGTCGATTTTGATATTCTAGGTATTATCAACTGGCCGGAATTTCGAGAACGCAATAGGCGTGAAGGACTATAATGCGTTAAGAGCGTGCTCAAGTACTGGGGAGCTAAACCATTTAGTGCTTTGTAAGTAATCAGCAATATTTTAAAATGTATACGATGTTTAATAGGCAGCCAATGCAGTGTTGACAGAACCGGGCTAATATGGTCATATTTCCTGGTTCTGGTAAGAACTCGAGCTGCTGCGTTTTGAACTAGCTGTAGTTTGTTTATTAAGCGTGCAGGGCAACCACCCAGTAGAGCATTACAATAATCTAGTCTTGATGTCATGAACGCATGAACTAATTGTTCCGCATTTGTCAATGAGTCATTCATATGGCGTAATTTAGATATATTTTTAAGATGGAAAAATGCGGTTTTACAGATACTAGATACGTGATTTTCAAATGAAAGATTGGTATCAAAGAGCACACCCAGGTTCCTAACCGACGACGAAGACTTAACAGAGCAGCCATCAAGTGTTAGACAGTATTCTAGGTTATTACGTGTGGAAGTTTTTTGTCCAATAATTAGAATCTCTGTTTTTTCAGGATTTAGTAGTAGGAAATTACTAGTCATCCAATTTTTTATATCAGCTATGCATTCTGTTAATTTTGTGAATTGGTAAATTTCGTTAGGTTTTGAAGAAATATACAGCTGAGTATCATCGGCATAACAGTGAAAGCTAATTCCATGTTTCCTAATGATATCTCCTAAGGGTAGCATGTACAGAGTGAAACAGCAGCGGTCCTAGGACTGAGCCTTGTGGTAGTCCATACTGAACTTGTGATCGATAAGACATCTCTTCATTTACTGCTACAAACTGATAACGGTCAGATAAGTATGATTTAAACCATGCTCATTTTTTAAACTCACTTTAGGTGAGTGTATGTGTCAATACTAGCAAAACGATTGGAAAACATAATCCCGGATCTGATAGACACAGACCAGACAGGCTTTGTAAAAAACAGGCAAACCCAGGACCATGTGAGACGGGCTCTCCACCTCATTGATCATATGAGAAAACGTGACATGGAATCCGTGGTTATAAGCCTTGACGCCGAAAAGGCTTTTGACTCTGTCCGATGGGAATATTTATATTTGGTCCTTAAGCGCTTTGGTTTTAATGACCAGGTAATTAGATGTTTGAACTCCCTATACTCCTCTCCTACGGCTAGAATTAAAATAAATGGGGACTTATCCAAAACGATATTTCTTGAAAGGGGATGTCGACAGGGATGCCCACTCAGTCCCACTCTTTTCGCTCTCTTCATAGAGCCTTTGGCGCAGGCAATCAGAGAAGATAAGGATATAACGGGGGTATTAATAGGAGACACACAATATAAGATATGTGCATATGCGGACGACATACTCGTGACACTTACCAGTCCTAATGCGAGTTTGCCCAAATTATTATCTCTTCTTAAAGAATTTAGTTCATATTCTGGCTATAAATTAAATCTGCATAAAACTCAAACGCTTACTTTCAACTACGAACCACAAGAAAACATTTATAAAATCTGTCAATTTAAATGGAAAGGTAATACAATTAAATACTTAGGGGTACACATACCTAAAGAGGTCTCTGCCATTTATAACCACAATTACATTCCTATAACAGCTGATATTAAAGCAGACTTAAACCGTTGGTCATTACTACCAATGAACATGCATAACCGAATAGACGCTAAAATGAATATACTACCCAGGCTGCTTTTTCTTTTTCAATCATTGCCTGTAGAAGTGCCTCTCAAACAATTCAGTGAATGGAATAGAATGATCTCATCTTTTATTTGGGGAAAACAAAAACCAAGGATTAGATTTCAAACATTACAACTCCCCAAGTACAAAGGTGGTATGGCTCTACCGTGCTTGGAAGATTATTATAGAGCAGCACAGTTACGTTCTCTGGTTTGCTGGTGTGACCCTGAGTGTGATGCAAAATGGAAGGACTTAAAGCAAAGTCAAATAAGCATACCTCACCAATCTATACTGGGTGGAAAAAACTCTGAACAAATTAACTAATTGGATGGCAGCCCCTTTTGATGTCTGGCACAAACTACTTAAAAATAAGGAATTTGAAAGAAATGTACGAATACTACGTTGGGTGGAATATGATACAGAATTTGCACCAGCTGGTCTGGACAGTAGATTCAAGCACTGGACTAATTCAGGTATCACTTCGTACTGTATAATATCCTCCACTGATGGTTTGGATACCTTTAAAAAACTCATAGATACATATTTATATAGTGCTTTTCTGGGTACTCAGAGCGCTTTACATATGAAAGGGGGGAATCTCTAAGGGAAGGAAGATTTCTTCAGATACCTTCAATTGAGACACCACTTTGATAAACATATTAAAACTATTGGAGAGAAGGGAACAGACCTGATTAGAATATTCATCGACGCATATAAGTAACACTAGCAGAAAATTGATTTCCAAGTTATATTCATATTTACAGTTGGACAGGGGACTCTCAACAATGTATGTAAAAATGAGGTGGGAGAAAGAAGCTAACATAAAGATAAGCGAAGATGACTGGTTGAACATATGCAGAACACAATCTACCACCTCTAGCTCAGGTCTGTGGAGGGAATTTACCTGGAAAAACACTTTAAGATTCTGTATAACCCCCAATATAAAAAAGTCACAGAGCAATAACCCTGAACATGGTCAGTGTTGGAGAGTGTGTGATAATATGTCTGCTGGTCATTATCATATATTTTGGGAGTGTCCTATTATTTATTTGTATTGGGTAGAGGTGGTGACGGCAGTTAGGTCAATAATCGGCTCAGAGCTTGAGTTTAATTTCAGCGTTATGTATTTAGGAAATCTACCAACAGGACAGAGAAAGGCAGATAGATATTTGTTACAAATACTGTAAAAATAGCAGGTAGCAAGAAAGCAATAACTAGGAAATGGCTAAGTAAAGAGTTTTGCTGAACAATTGCTGAATGGATAGAAATAGTTTGGGAAATTTATGTTATGGAACATTTGACTTTCTCTCTGAGACATGCAGTAAATGTGAAGCATATTGTAAAATCTTATCTGAACACAAATTGAGATGTATATGTCTTTTTGTTTTCTTTTTTTTCCCCTTTCTTTCCGTTTTACATGATGTTGAGCATTTCTGGTAATCTATGACCTTTTTTGTCAAAAATAAAGATAATTCTAGCTGAATATATGTATATATATATATATATATATATATATATATATATATATATATTAACTTTATTAACTTATTTATAAATATTATACAAATAAACTGGTTGTGTGCTTTTATTTTGTCATTAAAATTGATGGAAACAGATCCTAAGAGATTTCTTATCAAAAGCAATGCAGTCAAAAAAAAATATATATATATATATATGTATAACATTTATATAGTGCTTTTCTGGGTACTCAGAGCGCTTTACATATGAAAGGGGGGAATCTCTTCAACCACCACCAATGTGCAGCATCCACCTGGATGATGCAACGGCACCCATTCTGCACCAAAACGCCCACCAAACACCAGCTTATTGGTGGAGAGGAGACAGAGTGATGAAGCCAATCGGTATATGGGGATGATTAGGAGGCCATGATGGACGGGAGCCAATGGTCAAATTTCGCAAGGATGCTATAAAATTAATGATACAATTCCAATGTCCATCGTGTTTGTGTATGATACCAAATGTTTCTCATTGATAGCAATGGAGTGATAGCATGATAGCATGTTGAAAAATGACGCTAAAGGGTCCTGACCAAGATTCAATATCTGACGAGTTGGGAGAACATGTTGTGCCAATCAGTCAAAATAGTGATTGAGAAGAAAAGGAGTTGGTAATCAGTTTCAACTCAACTGAAAATGGACTAAAATTTTGAATTTAGCAGTAATATATATTTTTTTAATTCCTGTTTTACAGGTTAATGTGCGCGTGACTACTGTGGATGCGGAGCTGGAATTTGCCATCCAACCCAACACCACTGGTAAACAGCTGTTTGATCAGGTTGGTGTCTACATTTAAATTCCACTGTTTTGAGTATAATACTGATTTATCAGCAAAGACTTTGCTTTGTATTCCTGATAAAAATGTTTTTATTTTGAAAGTTTCTTTATTTTCCATTTCTCAGAACTATCACTGTTCTCAATTGCTTAGACGTTTGATTTTTGGCAAAAATCAGGGTTATGCACCTATTATTTACAAGTATGCATTTCCAATAATATACTATTATACTATTAATAATATTATTAATATTCTATTAGTATTCCCTTTTCTCAAAGAATGCTTCTTACTAGGCTTGCTGCGATAGTCGATGTTGCTGGTGTTACTGGTGTTCAGTCGCAACACATCACTTGCCCAACGTGGCACCGGTGTTTAGATTTTTTATAGTAATAAAAATCATTTAGTTCAGTTAGAGAACAGACACTACAATTAAAACTGAACGCATCTGCTCAATTCAGCGTGAGCTGAACGAGAGTCACAGCAAAAATCAGCAGCAGGAGTCAGTTCCCTTTCATAAGGGAACTCCCGCTGCATCGATACTCGACGCTTTGGGGAATGCCTTCGGCATGATGCGTCTGAAGTCTGTAATGGAACTACTCCAATCTTGATTGGTGCAATGTCTTTCGTCACTCGTGACGTTGCATGTGACGGTGATCCGGAAGCTATAAAAGGACATCGGAACATAGCCGCGTCAGCTTTCTGTCTTCAGCAAGCGTTCTGTGTGACTGTATTGTCTTATTTGGTGTTGTCTGTCTATCTCAATATATATGGCGAATATAGAGAAACGACTCAGACGGTGTGCGTCCCCTTGCCCACACTATTTGAGCGAGGATGACACGCACTCGTTCTGTGTTGTTTGTCTGAGAGTGGAGCATGCACGGGCAGTGCTCGAAGGCGCTGTCTGTGCAATCTGTTTTCAGTTACCTATGAAAAAGCTCTGCTCTGATATGGGGATTCGCCACCACATATTCCTGTTATTGAGGAGTTGCTGGAGATTGTAACCAGGGCAGTGGCTAAATTAAATGTTGAATGGCCATTTAATAAGCAGGAAGCGACTAAGAACAATGAATGAGTGCTTCCTGCAGACCCAGTCACAATCTTCGTGTCAGAGCCTTCCCTTTTTCACTGATCTCCATACTGAGGTATCGAGATCGTGGAAAAATCCATGTTCATCTCAATTATTTTCCCCCATGTATATATTTACATCCATTAGGGAATCTTATAAGAATGGTGAGGAGGTGATGGTAGAGGAATATTTTGTGAAATATTTTCTCCCCGACATTGCGTCACCCCTGATAGCTCAGACACTTCCCTCCAAATCTCATACATCGAATTTGTTAGGGAAAGCATAAATGGCGGTGGGTCAAGCCGGTGCATGCCTACATACAATGGGGTTATTACAGGCATACCAGGCTGACCTCCTCAAAGAGGTGGATGATAACTGGGAGGTCTCACTCGACGGTATTACTGAATTGCGTAGAGTTGCTGACTTGTCTCTTTCGCCTTCTGGCCTCTTTGGCGACGCGGCAAGAACCGTTTTCGAGAGGCTTCAGGAGGCAGAGCGACGATAAGATATCCCCAGTTGTCAGTCCAGGTCTCATGGGGTTGCTGCCAGCTCCTCATATTTTTTGAGAAGGTTGCCTCTCGTGTCCCCCCATATAAGGCTTGGGGCCAGAGGAAACATTCTCGCACAAAGCCCTCCATACCGAAGACAGGTCTGAGGACTGTCTTTCAGGTTAAGATGGCCCTGACCAAGAGATTGTAACGGCCCTTAGAGCAGTTACTATGGTTTCAAGTTGTAGTACCACTACCATGCTCCAGGGGGCTCTCCAGACTACTCCTCCTCTGGATAAAAGGCAGGGAGAAGTAGAGTTGGAGCATGTTTGGTTGGAGAGAAGCATGGCCTCCTCTTGTGCTAACCTTATGCGTAGAGTCCGGGTTGAGAAACTGTTGTTTTAAGCTCATCCAAGTAAGTGTTTTGTTAATTTTGTGGTGTTAACATTTGTATTTTGTGGGTTACGTCTTATTTGGGTCATTTCATGTGATTATGTTTGGTGCTAATGTTAGCTTGTGTGTTTCTATTTAGAAGGACTTCTCGTACATCACTCATCCAATATGGTTATCTTTATTATTCTACTGGGTTGAGACATCGTCCATTCTATGCTGTACTGTTTCGTATGGGGAGTTTACTGAGTTATGCCAATGTCATCATTGGATAAATTGAATCAACTGATAACAGGAATGTTTGAGTGCTGCAAGGACACAGTTATTGCAACGTACCCTAAACTGAAGCCTGAATGGATTGAAGCTAGAATTTGATGATCTAATGGACTGTTTGCTCCTTTCTTCTTTAACAAACCATCTCCTTCATATGACCACCTATCTTCATATACTCTCTGTTTGATGACCATGTGTGGAATATTTATATAAACACTACTGCAACAACTTCTGTGTTTGGACTTATGGTTTGAGTGTTTCTGAGTCTGGTTAAATTCATTATAGTTAAGAGAGTCCTCCCTTATAAATGTATGTGTGATGCGCCCTTCTGAAAGTTCTCAGTTGGACGGTTACAAAATGGCGCCCGAACAGGGACTCTCAGAAGGGCGCATCACACATAAATTTATAAGGGAAGACTCTCTTAACTATAATGAATTTAACCAGACTCAGAAACACTCAAACCATAAGTCCAAACACAGAAGTTGTTGCAGTAGTGTTTATATAAATATTCCACACATGGTCATCAAACAGAGAGTCACTATATGAAGATAGGTGGTCATATGAAGAAGATGGTTTGAGAAAAGATTGTCCTTCGCTTGATTGATGCAGTTCTTGCCAGCATAACTGACTCATGACTCTTTGATCAATGAGAGGGTACTTCCTGTATCACTACAAAATTATAAGAACATCGCCATTCCAATAGTCCTACAAGGCAGGTATGTCGTCTCCATTATTGATACAGGAAGTACCCTCTCATTGATCAAGGAGTCCTTGTGGAAACAGTTATGCTGGCAAGAACCGTATCAATCAAGCGAAGGACAATCTTTTCTGTTGGCAAATGGATAAAGACAAACTGCAGTTGGGAAGGTTAATTGGAAATAAGTACAAGAACAAGTAGTACCTTTGTCCCTTTACATCATGCGGGATATTGATCTGATTGTTCCGTTTATCCTAGGCATTGATTTTCTACTTGAGAGCAGAATGGTACTAGACTTTAAGCGAGTTTGTCATTGTACTGTTTTGTTGTGTTATTCATTAAGAATAATAATGAAACCACCATTCAAAACTACCGCCCCTGAATTGGAGCTAATTCAAAAGCGAAAGTAAAATTCACACGGGCATTCATAATGGTGCGTCTCCACTGGGGCTGAGCGAGTGTGTGTTCGCGCTCAACTTCCATAGAAATTCATTGAAAAACACTCGCTCTGCTCCGCAAAGAGGGAAAAACTCCAATGCTCCGCCCCTGCCAGTTTTGTTTTGTCTGCTTTTAAGTTGTTTTATATACAATTAAATACAGAATATAATACAATTAAATACAATTTTACTTCTTTGTAACTTAAATGGCCACTCAGACCAGAGATCTTGTTTATTGTCTGGTGTTCAGAGATCTTGCGCTCAAATCAGAGCATGTGAGTGGAGCGATAATATTTCCTTCAGAGCGGAGCCGGAGCCAGCTTTCTGAAGATTCCACTCCACTGCACGTTCAACCCAGACTGCCCTTTGTTATATGCTGGTTCTAAACTCTTTGAAATAAATGTTGTGGCAAATTCTCGATCTTTGGTTCAATTCTTCAAAGTCTGGTTCAGGTCTCAGAAGAAATCTTTCAGAGTCGAAGTTTCAGGTCTCAGAAGAATAACTTTATTGAGCAGTTCAACAAAGTGAGATGACGGCCACTCATCTGATCTTTCATGGGCCAGTGCTCTAGTCTTATACCTTTTTCTTATCGTTAGTATTCAATTAGCGTTTGTATTAGTATCTTTTTACACAATGGGCATCTGTATTAGTATCTTTTCACATAATGGGTATCTGTATTAGTTTTCTTTTCACACAATGGACCTCTTGTTTTTAGCAGTCGTTTACTCAATGGACATCTTGTTTTAGTATCTTTTTCTTGGTGGTACATCGTTACATTGTATACAATATGTTTCTCTTCCAGTGCTTCCCAACACCTGCATCTGTGCTACAAGTCTTTTGGGTATTTTTCCACTCTCTTGTCCATGTTCTCATGTGCCCTATCCTCACATGCCCTGTGACCTAGTTTTTCTGCTTGGCATTATAGCATTCAGACCTGGTTTTCTCTAGCATTACAGCATTTTATATTCAGACCCATGTATGAGACATGTATGAGACAAATGAAATTCCCCAACATAAGCAATAGGTCTAAGGTTATGAAGTTAAAACTTTTTTTAATGAAGTTGCCAAATGCTCGGGTTTTTCCTTGCATAGAGAATTATGAGGCGGTCAAATCTGTCAAATTGTGTGCCGTCTCCGGTTGTCAACAAATTTGTAGACCCAAAGTGGTGTTCAATCACCTGCCCTTGATAAGACAAGTGCCATTTTTGCAAGATTTTGTTTAAATATACAGTACTGTTCAAAATTCTTAGTTCGACATGGACTAAATCCAGAAGAACGGCGGCAACATCTCCAAGACGCATGTAGAAACCTACCTGCAAAGCTACAGTACTGTGAAAAGTTTTAGACACTTATCAAATTATCAAAAATAATTTCATAAATAGATTTTATTTACCAATTAGACTAACTTATATTAACCAAATCAAAACAATATTTGGTGTGACCACTCTTTGCGTTTAAATCAGATTTTCTCCTAGGTACACTTGCACACAGTTTTTCAGGTAGCTTTGCAGGTAGGTTTCTTCATGTGTCTTGGAGACATTGCTGCAGTTCTTCTGGATTTAGTCTTTAACTTTAAACTTTATTGTCCTTAAAGGCAATTCTTTGTGTAGACAGCAGTATACACATGCACATATAACAACACATATCACAACACAACACACAGATTACAATCAATCATTTAAAAATCTAATTACAGCAGGTATAAAGGAATTTCTGTATCTATTTGATTTACACAAGGGGAGTTTAAATCTCCGTCCTGAAGGAAGTAGTTGAAGTTCACTACATAATGGGTGAGTGACATCAGAAAAGACTAACTGGCCCTTCCTAATCATCCTATGCTCATAAGTTTGTGTGATAGTCCTTAAGTCAATCCCAACTATCTTGCTACATCTTGCTTGTCTCTGTTTGCCTGTATGCCTTATATGGGGCAGAAAGAGAAAAGCAAACAAAATGGCATGTCACAATGTATATGTAGTGAATCTACATTAGGGGTAGGCGGTATGTCCAAAATCTTATATAGCAATTTATTTAATATAGTTTTTTTTTTGCTTCAAATACGTTTTTTACATAAAAGTTTTTGATACCATTGAAATTTCATAATTCATATCACCAATTTTAATATCACATAAAACTAATACTAGTTTAAAAAAATGCTTATTACATTGTGCACTTTATTTGCACAGCTCTTTCAGATTTATGTTATGTTGTTCACGTCATCCTGCAGGTGGTGAAGACTGTGGGTCTGCGTGAGGTCTGGTTTTTTGGCCTGCAGTATGTGGACAGTAAAGGCTATACAACGTGGCTGAAACTGAATAAAAAGGTGAGGCTTTCCATCCCACTTTCCCCCCACTAGTACTGCTGTTCTTATTGGGCCACAATTCCACTACACATTAGATGTGCGATTTAACTGACTCTGTTCAACAGCTGCCAAAAATATGTGGGAAAAAGATCTGCTCTAAAAGTATGTGAAAGCCTGTACTTTTCCCCTATAAACAGCACTATGGTAACTTGCAAAAACAGCTTTACATTTTTTTTCACACGTGCCCCTCTGCATGTGTGTTTCATGGAGATCATAAAAAATCATAACAGAAAATAAAAATGCGATAAATTGTTAATGCAATTTTCGATATGCGATAGGATAATACTATAAGTGTGAAATCCATTTCAATTAATTAAAAAAAAATTTAAATACTGAGAGTTATATAACCAAAATATATGTTTCATGTTCTTTCTGGGAGAAGAAAGCATCCCAGAAAAATTCTGAAAGTGAACAGCAGTGTTTTAACGTAGCATTACATACGTCAATGTAAACCAGGGGTTCTCTTACGAGAGGTTCTCTCGTATTGCGTAAGCTAGCTTACGCTGCGGGAAAGATTCATCTTTGCTGAGATATTGAAGCCAAAAAATTATTTCATAATTTTGTATCCATACACAACGCAGTTCCTCTGCGGCAGACCTAGAGCGGGCTAGCTAGCAGCTCATTGGTTCGCTCAGAGAGAACTGCTTAAGCCTATGGGAGAGCGGGGCTGAACCCGCTTCCAATGAGAGGCGCCCGCGCGCTCATTGCGTCATGACCCGCCAGAATGGGCGTGGCCATGGTGTATATAAGGAGCTCTCCCAGGCTTATATGTTGATTCATTTCATCTTCAGCAAGCTGCACGCTTCTGCTGTTCCTGAGAAAAGCCATCGCCGTCGAAGAAGGCATCCTCTAGCGAGCTCAAGGACCCTGAAGAAGCCGGCCGTCTTCGCCACCTTCAGCCGCCCTGCAAGCTAGGCCATCCGGCGATTTGTATCCTTTTCTCTATATCTAAAAGAGCCGAGCGTCTTTTTAAAGATGTCTCGTTTTTCCTGCGGCTCTTGCCGCGCTCGTCTCGAGGACGGAGACCGCCATGTCATCTGCGCTCTCTGCTTGGGACTCGAGCATGCAGAACTCGCCCTCGCTGATGGAGGATGCGACTTCTGTGAAAGCCTGCCGTTATCGTCCCTGCGGGCACGACTTCTGGCAGTGAAAACCGCTCCCGCGCCGCCTATTCTCTCGCCGCGTAAAAAGAAACGCCGCTCTCAAAGGCCGCCGGAGCCCCCAGCGGAAACATGCGGGCCGCCGCCGCCGCCTCCCGCTTCCCGCTCTCCCTCCCCGCCCCTGCAGGACATTCAGTTGCCGCCGAGTGGCCGCTCTGTTGTTTCCGATGACGCCGCGGAGGAGAAGGACTCCTGTTCACTGCTCGCTTCTGACAGTGAAGACTGGTCATCTCTCGGATCCGCGAGAGAGTCGACGGGGACCCGCGCCGGGATAGAAGAGGAGCTGATGCGCCTCCTCTCACAGGCCGTCGAACGCCTCGGTCTCGAGTGGTCTCCTCCACCCGAGCAGGCCCCGAACCGAATGGACGGTAGCTTTTTTCATCGGCGCTCGACCCCCGCGTGCACCCGGGCCGCTCCATTCCTGCCTGAACTTCACGCAGAGCTGACAAAATCCTGGAATGCACCGCTCTCGGCTAGAAATCGCTCCGATATATCCGCCTCGCTGCGCTCGGTGGACAGAGCCGCCGAGAAAGGCTATGCAGCCATGCCGCCCGTCGAGGACTTGGTCGCCACGCACCTCTGCCCGCCCTCCGCTAGATGGCGTTCTTCACCCACGCTTCCTTCGAAAGCTTGCAGAGCGACCTCGAGCTTTCATGCTCGCGCTTACGCCGCCGCCGGTCAGGCCGCCGCTGCGCTTCACTCTATGTCTGTCCTCCAAGTGTTACAGAGCGATATTCTCCGTGAATGGGCCGAAGGCGGATTTGAGAAGTGCTACGGATCTCGCCCTTCGCGCCACTAAAGCCGCCGCACAAGCTCTGGGGAAATGCATGGCCAGCCTTTGTGTTGCTGAGAGACACTTATGGCTCACGCTCGCCGACATGGGAGATTCTGAGCGCGCCGCGTTTCTCAACGCGCCCCTCTCCCCGACGGGCCTGTTTGGATCTGCCGTCACGGGAATCGTCGATCGCTTTTCTGAAGTACAGAAAGCTACTCAGGCGATGAACTTGTTTCTACCCCGCCGCGCTAGCTCTTCAGCGGGCCGCTCTCACGAGCCCTCCGCCAGAGCCCCATCACAGCGCCCCCCTCCGCAGACTCAAACAGCTCAGCGCAGTCAGAGCGGCCGCCCTCGCCCTCGCTCTCGCTCTGACAGCCGCCGCAGACCGCCGCCCCCCCGTGGCCCGCGACCTAAGATCACGCTGAAGCCTGATCATCAGAAGTCTGCCTAACAATGTCAAGAAAACGACGGTGCTCTCCCGCTGCGGCCGGACCGCCGTCAAAGCTTCGCCCTCTGCCAGTCCCCGTTATTTCGCCGACTGCTGTAGTGTTGACCGCCACAAACAAGCCGGTGTCCCAGCCCGCTTGCGAGCGACAAAAAGCCGTTTTTACGGCTACCCAGAGAAATCTCAAAAAGAGAAATTTTGCCAGTTGTGTAGAAAATGTGCCCACAATCATGTGTTCACCCATACACACAAGCATAACATATCCCGTGTCTCTATCAGAGCCCCATCACATGAAACGGGCACAGCCCGCTCTAATATCAGAGAACATAAACACGCCCACGAGCTCGTGCACGTGTCCCCTCTCTGCTCGCTCTGTGTCACGGCCCATAGACTCCTCTCTGAGTGCAAATCCCGTTGCCACACACATTCAAAGCGCGCCCACACACTGTGTCCAGCCCGCTATGTGCAGCAATCAGGGCAATACAGCCATTCGGCCACTAGCCGCATGCTCCAAAGCGTGGGAAGCCATTCCAGGCATTTCCCCGTGGGTGTTAAGCATTATAAAGAACGGCTACCTGCTACAGTTTCGCCGCCGCCCGCCTCGTGCGCGCGCGCAGCTCGAATCTTCTGTCAGCCCGCTGGCCGCCGGCACGCTCCGCTCAGAAATTGCGACGCTGTTGCAAAAGGGCGCGATAGAGAGAGTCCCGCCATCTATGACCGAGTCGGGGTTTTACGGCCGTTATTTTCTGGTTCCCAAGAAAGACGGCGGCCTCAGACCGATCTTAGATCTCAGGTCTTTGAACAAAGCGCTCATGAAGAGACCGTTCAAGATGCTCACTACCAGGAAACTCCTCGCGCAGGTGCGCCAGGGGGACTGGTTCATATCTCTAGACCTGAAAGACGCCTATTTTCAGATCCAGATAAATCCCCGTCACAGGCCATTCTTACGTTTCGCCTTCGAGGGTCTTGTTTATCAATACGCCGTTCTTCCGTTCGGCTTATCTCTGGCGCCCCGTACATTCACGAAGTGCATGGATACGGCGCTCGCCCCCCTGCGAAGCCAGGGGCTGCGCATTCTGAATTATCTGGACGACTGGCTGATTTTGGCCCAATCACAGACGGAGCTTCTGTCGCCTCAGCCTCCGCTGTACTTCAGTTGGGCCTTCTGCACATGCGCCCGCTTCAGTTCTGGTTGAACAGCCGTGTACCCCACCGCGCGTGGAACACGGGCCGCCAGCTGATCAGGGTTACGCAAACGTGTCTCACGGTGCTGCAGCCATGGACAGTAGCAGAATGGTTTCGTCTAGGCGTCACGATGGGGACCTTTTCCTGCCGAAAAGTCATCTCGACAGATGCATCCAACACGGGTTGGGGTGCAGTCTGCGAGGGCTCACCGGCCTTCGGCCACTGGTCGATTCAGGAAAGCCCATTACACATAAACTGTCTGGAAATGCTGGCGGTCGAGAACGCGCTCTCGCACTTTCTCCCGCGCATCCAGGGACACCACGTCCTGATCCGTTCGGACAATATGGCCGTGGTCTCCTATCTCAACCGTCAGGGCGGTGTCAGATCCAGAAATCTCTCTCTACTGACGCACCGCATTCTAGTTTGGTCTCAGAGCCGCCTGCTCTCGCTCAGAGCGACGCACGTGCCGGGCCATCTGAACGACGGTCCAGACATACTGTCCAGGAACCTCATCTCCACAGGAGAATGGTCCCTGAACTCACAGACGGTCCAGTTACTGTGGCGACTATTCGGCAGAGCAGAAGTAGACCTCTTCGCGTCAGAAGAGAACGCTCACTGCCCAATATATTTCTCGAAGAGCGAGGACGCGCTAGCCCAGGAATGGCCTCGCCGCCCGCTCTATGCATTCCCTCCGATCGCTCTGTTACCACAGGTAATTCAGAGGATCAGGGACACACGCCACTCGGTGCTCCTCATAGCCCCGCGTTGGGAGAGTCAGAATTGGGTTCCGGAGCTCACGCAGCTGTCACAGACAGCCCCGTGGCCCATCCCAGTCAGAGCAGATCTCCTCTCTCAAGCTCGCGGCACGATCTGGCACCCCCATCCACAGCGCTGGGCGCTACATGCATGGGTGATCAACGACTATTCGTTGATTTGCCAGAGGGAGTAAGAAACACTATCATACAGGCTAGAGCACCTTCCACGAGAAGGCTCTATGCGTCTAAATGGTCTGTGTTCTCAAAATGGTGCACCGACAAACAGCTGGACCCACGGTCGTGCGAGGTGCCGTCTTTGCTTGTTTTCCTTCAAGAGATGCTGGACAAGGGCAGGTCCCCCTCCACTCTCAAGGTTTATGTGGCAGCCGTCGCGGCGTTCGCGGAACCCCGACGCGCTCAGTCATTGGGCAAAGACGAGTTAGTCATCCGCTTCCTCAGGGGAGCTAAGAGGATGAACCCTCCGCGGCCCCCGTCGGTTCCGGTTTGGGATCTTTCTATAGTCCTTGAAGCTATGAAAGCACCCCCGTTCGAACCGCTCGAGTCTGTGGATCTGAAATACCTCTCGCTCAAAACCGTTTTCCTGACGGCTCTGTCCTCAGTTAAACGCGTTGGGGATCTTC